AAATTAAAAGGTATAGTCACTTTAGAAGCACATTCTTCACATCTAGACGATAAAAATATGTTGCATGAACATAAATTATAAATTCAACCTTACCGAATTATTTCTAAAACACTCGAATAAAATAAATTCTCAGATGAGAGAAATGACAATAATGACAATAATAGCAATAATAGAAATGACAATAATAGAAATATGACAATAATTCGATTGGATATACTCAGTACGCACTAGAACATATTATTATAATTGTGTACGTCGTATACAATTGACTTAAAAATGTGTTTAATATAAATATGAAAGCGAAATAAATCATGAAATCTTTCCATATATCTTATTGTGCTTTAAGCACAAAATTGATATTTTATAATTTGAAATATCTGCATTTTATTTTCACACAGATTAAAAATCAGTGTACAATGGGTTTAAATCTGTACGACTGCGTCAAATCAAATTCGCTATAAGTACTCTAGTGTGTGTGTGTGTGTGTGTGTGTGTGTGTGTTTTCTAAATATCAAACAAAACAAATTACCAAAGCTTTGACCGAATATAACTTTCTTCATTTATACTCAATATTGAAATTATTCTGCAAATGTATGTACACACACACACACACACACACACACACACACACACACACACACACACACACACACACACACACACACACAAATATAAAGGAATAAAATACCTTCTTCATGTATTATATAGGTAACGAACTATGACCTATTTCTATATCTCAAAAATGCAAAATCATATTGAAATAAAACAGGATACACTTTAAAGCTAAAAGTTGATATTTTTAATAAAATTTTGTGTGATATTAATAAAATTTTTAAAAAATTTACTGCCGATATTATACTTTCAAAATCATTTTTTTATATCTTTGATGTCATTTTTCTTAGAAATGCAATCTAATAATAATAATCAATCTAATAAATAATAATCAAATTTAAGAGGATCCTAAAGCAAAACCCAAATTCCGATGAAGTCACTAGAGATCGCTGTTTCTCCAGCGCACCGACATATTTTTATATACTACGATACCAATATATCGTGCAACCTATGATACACACAGTTAAATAACGGATTCGTATTTAGCAAAGTAAAAATACATTGGAGATGATTATTCACATTTACAAAAAAAAGTCAAATTTTGTTATCTATGAATGTTATTTATGAAAAATAAATTAATTCCTGTAAACAGATTATTAAAAAAGAATTCTTCATAAAGAAATGAATGATCATATATTATGTACTCATCCTCTATGTGTGAGAAATGCGCCTAAAGTTCAATCATATTTAGTTATTGTACAAATATATACAAATATATCTTATGCGTTTATGTTTAGATATACATTAATTAATTAAATTTGTTTTGTACAGATATCTTTATACTATATAAATTATAAAATTTAAGCAGTTTCTTACATATCATCTTTCCATAATCTAAAAATCAGATTATCTTTTGCTTGCTCTTGTTCATTATCTTACGATACATAAATTGCAAATTTTTGATTAACAAATGGAGTAGAGGTGATGACATACCTAATCAGTCTCATTTCTTGTTTAATGTTTTTTCGCTTTATAAAAAATGGAACCTATACTTTTCCAAAAAAAAAGAATGAACAATTGTTATATTCACACAATTTCATTCTTATTATCTATGAAATCATATATCAAGATATTAATAAAATGTCACTTGTTCCACATATCCATGAACCTGTTCTATAGCTTTATCGGCAGATTGTTTCCTCCATGCGAAATCACGTTTAAACATCTACTAGCCAAAAGTTATTTCATTAAATCCATTTGTCAAAAATTCAAAAATGCAAATAATTTCGTAAGATAAAAATAATGTAATAAACCTTGCTCTTCTTTGGGTGCAGAAGTGGTATCCTTATTTTCACTTTCCGCCAAGTCATTTTCTTGCTGTATATCGTGTGTTAAATCTAACTTGTTAATATCGTTAGTAGAATCGTTTTGTTGATCTTTTATCAATTTTTTATTGTTCTTTAACTTATCTTCTACATCGATTTGCTGTTTGGAAACGTCTTCTTCAGATAAAGTAAGATGATTACTGTCAGGTGCATTTTTTTTCATCAGTTTATACTTTTGGTAATCTTTTGAAGCCTGTCTCATGCGAATTAGAAAGTCTGGTAAACCTAAGATAATCATCATAATTAGTTATTACAAATGCATTAAAAAAAATTCATAATTGATGAGTCACTTGACTGACAATAATTGATTTTAATTTGTGACAAACCTCTCAATGCTACCCATGCAGTAACAGCAGATGGTACAGAGACACCAGGATCATCAAAGTAGGTAAGTCCAAATTCAATGCCTGGTTCGTGAAGTTCTGTATAAGGCTTTATCACCATGTATGACCAATACGTTCTAACTCTGTTACATACAGATATTAAAGTATTAATTATACAGGCCCACAAAAAAAGTACCTTGTGCTAGGATGGAGTCTTATGTATTTTGCGTGCTGAATCTGACATCAAAATAGGACCATCCAGGATAAATTTTCAATCTAGAGTGAAAAAAATGGATCAAAAATGGAAAAAATGAGTCATTTTTTCGCTGTAGGTTGAAAATTTACTGGATTTACTGGATGGTCCTATTCTGATATGATATCAGAATATCCTATATGATATCAGATTTGTATTCAGCGACTTAAAATACATAAAGTCCGATGCTAGAAATTGGTTCGAAATTTCGGACAGAAAAAAAATTAACAAATCATTTGAACAATTTGATCACATGATCATTGCGATTGGTCAATTTTTTCTTCATTTTGGACCGATTTCACAAAACTTAAGAATAGCTGGTCTCTATCCCAGCAGAGTACTTTTTTTTGTGTGCTTGTGTTATTAAACAAAGAATAAATCTCTCTCTCTCTCTCTCTCTCTCTCTCTCTCTTTCTCTCTCTCTCTCTCTCTCTCTCTCTCTCTCTCTCTCTCTCTCTCTTATTAAAATTATTTTAATTTCGACAGCTTAAAATGTTCAGTTATTAAATTAAAGCTCTTAAGTTACTACAATCATATTGAATCTTGATATCAGAAGTGAGAAGTGACATATTAATTTTTGTTATGTATTGTTTATAAATAAATACAATTTGGATAAAACAAAATGATGTTTTAAAACATTTATAAAACTGAAAACTTTGTTATCCCCCTCTCTAACAGTCAGTAAATAATCATAAAAAGTGATAAAAGGCATATAAGTGAAAATAGGTTACACATGTGCATTAAATAACAGCACTTGTGCCACTTTTTACTGGCTGTCAGGAAAGATATAAGGATACCTTTTATCTATTTTTATATTGTTTTATAAACATTTGTTTTATAAACATTTTTATAACAGTCAGTTTTATAACAATCTCATCATTTCATTTTATCTAAATTGTCTTTATTTCCAATAACGTGTACTTGATAAAAATTAATGTGTCATTTCTCTTCTAACATCACAATTCAATATGGCTGTAGTGACTATTCAACCTTAATTACTTAAAAAAAACTGTTTTATTAACAAATACTAAAAGAATTGAAAATTAAAGAATTGACCAACTTAATAATTTTTCATACGCATATATTATATGAATGTTTAAATATTGACTATCAATGCTGACTTCTTTATATACCTATAAATTCCTTTCTTTTCTGGTACATTAGGATGTTCCGTCACTCGACTGACAATAACTACAAGTCCTTTTTCTCTATCCATGATCCATCGTCGTTGATACACATAATCTCTATTAGAAAATAATTTCTGCACAAATATAAATTAACGAATCATTAGTGGATAGATTCATCCAAAAAAATAGCACATTATATCATACTTACAGGCCAGATCATTTCCCAATGGATAACATCAGTACTATGATTAACAGACGATTTATATTTCGGATCGGTCTCAATAATCTGTAACTCTTGAGCAGTGGGATCCCATTGCTTTCTATAATCTACATCGATTTGTACTTGTAAAAAATCTTCAGCGGTAACATCGGAGAATGAACCATATACTTTATAGGCAAACAATCCACCCGAATTAGGTTCTACTTTCCTCCATATTAACATATCCTGACGCTCAATGAAAGGTTGCCAATTATCTGCTGTATATATTTTATATATTACACATAAAAATGTGACATACTTAAATAATATATAATATCAATATATAATAAACAATATATAATAAAATCAAATATATTTATGTATATAATAAAATGTTTCATAGTTGAATAGTCAATACAAGAAAAACTTACTATTTTCAGAAGAATCAGAAGGATGAACTCCACTACATTTACAATATTTTATATCAGGCTGTCTAGTATCAATAACAATTCGCAAATGACACTTTGTACAAACCACTGTAGAGTCTCGTAATGTATAAATTCCTTCAATCTCACGATTATACCTGTGATATAGAAAAACGATGTCAAAAACGATTATTATGTAAGAATATATTTTATATGTCTTGTTCTTATAAACGTTTAGCAAGTACCTATTAATTTCTTCATCACTTATCCTGTCGCGATCCCAGTTGTACATGCTTACTCCAGCAGCGCTTATCAGGAAGTTTTTGGCATTCTTAGCAAGTCTAAGTCTCCACAGCCGCATGAATTCTCTCAGTGCTACCTCATCCCATATCCTCGTATAGAGGTGAAATATCTGTATGTACCTCCTGATCCTCTGGGCCGCCACAAATTCAAACTGTTTCTTACAGGCCTGAGCTGTCTGCGTACCCTGTTCTCGGAACCATGAGCTTATTCTCCTGCGGTAGCTACCGAGTTTGCCACGACCTTGCGTCCTCGGACCGCAGTGTTGCAGAACGAATGCTAATTTGCTAATGTTGTTGCCATAACCATTATTAAATCTTTTGAGAGCATAACCAGATAGCTTCCACGTATACATCACGTATACACGTTCGCTCTCGATGCTGTTCAATTATAAATCCTTCGTACGGAGCACAATCAGTTCATCCTTATTTACGGATCTGTCCGGATCTATCGTGACCAACCGTATAGATAACCGCAGACTTGTGATACTCCGTGAAATACTTCGTGCCGGTCTCGGGGTTTTTCCGTTCTTGCCGTCGATAAAAACGTATCGCAAGTGCAAGAGGTATCTTCTCTTCTAGATCAACGCATACTATTAATTATCGTGAAACTAATTATATGAGAAAATTGCGAGCATCATTATCGTCCGCGATGCCTAATCGCGCGTACGTACATAACCATCGATCACGGAGGAATGTGGAATGTGGAGGAACGAGAACATACAAGGATGGCGCCAACGGCACCGATAGCGGAGCCGGAAAGTTACAGTTGCGTGGTAAACATGTGCGAGGTTGGAGTTTAATGCGGCGCGAGGAAGGGAATAGTAAGGCCACAGTATATACAGTAGCACAACTCTCTGTTGGCACCTTTGGTGTTAGTGTTTCCCAAAATGGAGTGCGCATGCGCGAGATAAGTAAGTTCGTAGTAGCGCCATCTGAATTTCTTTCTCAGTTGCTCTTTATTTTTTCGCTCTCTCTCTCTCTCTCTCTCTCTCTCTTTAGGTCGTTTATACATCAAAGTTTAATCTAAATGTAATAAAACTAAAAGAAATAGATTTATAATTGTAATGCAAAGTAAAAAGAAATACAAAAATAAGAAGATATAAAATTATATAAATATTGTATGATACAAATATTATACTGTAAAAATATTTTAATTAACGACTGCAGCACACGATGCTTGTTTTTCTGCTAGATTGCTTGCGTTTTAATAAATTATTAGAATTGCACTGCACAAAACGCAGATTTTCTAGCTAAAACGAAAGCAATCCACCTGGAAAACAAACAACGTACTTAAATCGTTAAAGAGAAACAATTTAAATGGCCTTGAAAAAGAGAATAGAAAAAGAAAGAAGTGAAATAGAAATTTAGATGATTTTACTGGGCAACTTACTTACTTACTTCGCGCATACGCATTCCATTTTGGGAAACAAAATCAGAAGAATTGCGCTACTGTATATACTGTAAGGCACTATTCGCATCCGCCATTTTTAGTCCTTTTCTCATTCTCTTGCTCCTTTCCTCTTGCTTCCTTGCTCTCTTTCTACTCCGCTAAACTAAGAAGATTGAAGAGAGAACAAAGAGTGGGGAAGGGATTAAAAATGGCGGATGCGAATATCTATATTATAGAGGATAGTCAACGCGATGTTGCAAATGCTTTGAAGCGATTTTTAACTGGTCAGTTTGTAAAATTTTTTCTTCTAATTAGTCCATCAAATGCTTCAAAGCGTTTGTAGCGAGACTTTGATCACAGCCATAGTGCTCTAGAAATAGGTCGAACAGCCAATCAGTTCGCAAATTTCAAATTTTTGAAATTGGCGTGACCCGTCATCATGAGAGTTGGCGCCAATTTCGAATATTCCGTTTCTCTCCTTAAAGAGATAAGGAAGGCAAGATATATTCGCACGTCGACTTTGTGAAAATTCATGGTTCGCTCATCGTATCATCCATTGTCGATTTAATCGAGCATCGAGAAATTAATGTAAATTATATTAAACAATAAATTATAAAGAAGTAGTCATATGATTTCTCCCTCTAACATTATAATTCAACAACCGCGGTTTAGAATTCCTCAAGTTTGGACATTAAAAAATTTTTAAAGAAAATTACATTTAATTACTATTTATTTTACAGATTATAATAGTAATAAGATACTGCTACATTAATTAAAATATCTAATATTCTTATATAATAATTTATATTTATAAACTGTTGAATTAAATTAATTTTAAAATTGTAAAATTTACATAGGAAT